ATTTTATTTTGTCGTTGTCTTTGTCGTTTGTTTACTAGCGCTTAGAACAGATTTGTATTTGCGCTTTATAAATAAATATTATTATTATTATTATTATTATTAAAACTCCCGATTTAGTTAATTATCCCTCAAACCATACTTCCGGCACAAGTAGCCTGCGTTCTGCTATGGATCTTGGATCCAAAGCTATTGAAGAAGCCCACAACTAGAAAAAAGTTTGTCAAGGTAAAACTATTTAACAGAGTCATGAAAAACGCTTTTGAACGAAGATAGAATAGTTCGATACCACGGCACACAGCAGTTTTATCGATTTGTTTCGGGCATTTAGTTAATTTTTAAATATTTCCGGCTGTCGGACACATCTAGACCAGCAGCGTAAATGAAAGACCATTTGAGCTCTTCTTTCACTTTCTAGAATGACCTTGATTCTTTTTTGACTAGGAAATCACAGCAACTAATTAAGCTTTTAATATTTGTTTACAAATGGAAAAATATAAGTCTGTTGAAAAGAAAGAAAGAATAAACAGAGGGCGAGTTAGAAAGAGAAAATTAACTCTTTCTTTTGGCGTTAGTTAAGAACGGACAGGAAGGTTCAACAAAAAGAAGTCAGACTGGGAATAATTAAAAGCCAATTTGTATATATTGACTTTATTAGTAAAACTTGGTTTAAAAATAATGTCATTTTATTGCAGTTTGGTCAAACACTGGTTTGGTTTGGTTTTAGTATAATATTTGTTCACCTGTCTTGGTTAAGTCTTTATCTTTCTTCTCGGCTCTCTTTAAAAGCTCCTCAAGATTTCCGTCGTAGTTTGAATATTTAAACAAGACACAAAACGCGGCTTTTTAACTAAAAAGCTTTACGAAAATTCAGTATGCTTGTTTTCAACTCAAGCTGTTCTCAAAAGCTGTTTTTTCGTCTTGTTTTTTCGTACACAAAAATTAGGAGTCGTTTTAAAAACATTCGAGGAAGCTTAATTAATCACTAAAGATCCAATATATTCGTGCATAATTTATATTTCAGCTCCTTTAGCGAAACTAACTGCATGTGACTGAGTGTTAGGTATAGATCAATATCTAATGAACATTTTCTTTAATTTTGAAAAGGAAATCGCGAGGGATCAGCACCTTCGGAAACGTATTGTATTTGAGAACAATAGGTTATTAAGAAGAGTGGAAGCGCATTGGCTAAAAAACTTTCGTTTTTGAACAAACATCATTCACAAAAATACTGGATTAGTCACATTGAAAAGCTTGAATGACGAGTGTTTGAAGAAAGTCGACATATTATGAGCGAATTCAGATATCTTATTTAGGACCGTGGAAGCGCATTGGCCAAAGAAGTCTATTGTTTTTAAAACAAGCGTTATTCATAATTATACTTTATTATTCGCATTCAAAGGCTCAAATGCTGAGTGTTTGAAGAAAGTCGATGTTACGAGCAAAATACAGAGATCTCAATCTAAATCCAATTCGTGCTGCTAATTGAGACCCGCTAAAGGATCAATTTTGGGCGGTCCCAACTAGAGTAAAAGGCAAGAGTAAAATTACCAAAAACAATAGATGGAAAATTAAGGTAAGATTGTTTTTGAGTGCAGCACTTGTTTGATAAAGAGATAATGAAGAAATCCTTATCCCTTAACTCTCGATTTCACCAAAACAACCACCATTACTCAATATACATAATTGAAGCTAGTCCCACCTTGAGGTTCAATATTTTATTACTATTAAAGCGGGTATCGATCGAAATGAAGCTAGGCCTGTTTGCTAGGGAATAAATAATTCCTCGCTTGCTTCAACATCAAACTACTGAATCAAACGGCCTTGAATTGCACAACATATAGTAAAAAACTAAGCTCTAAATTTTTTTAGATTCGCGTATCTTAGCAACAAATGTGAGACACCAACATGTGGGAATTAATATGAAAATTGCTCATGAATTTGTTAATTTGAAAATGTCGTTAAAATGTCGTGAACGGGTATATTATTCATAATCTGTTTATCTCATAGAACTGAAGACACACACGGAAAAACGACTACAAAAACGGCGAGTCGTTTACCAATCGAAGTCGTGGGAGGGAAAAGTATTAGGGCCGATATACAAGCCACACTAGGATCACGGAGGAAGTTGTTTACGTTGAAACAAGGTTCTACCACGGATATGCAGACACTAGTGCTTTGAACTGAGGGGAAAAAACGACAAACAAAAATGGAACCAAAATCAAACAGCACTACTAAAGGTGATGACGATAACTACAGCAAAGAGTTCGTAATTGGTACTGTCGTTTGTCTTACCATAGCAGCTTTCGTTGGGTTAATTGGAAACGGACTTCTCGTAATCATGATAACTAAAGCACGGAAGCTTCAGTCGGTCATGAATCGTTTTATCCTCCACCTTGCGATAGGAGACTTGATCGTCTGCGTCATATGCATACCGCTTTTCTTGGCTATCAACTTCTACTTTCAGAAAAACAACCAAGAGTGGATCTGTAAATTGTCGAGGTTTCTTCAGTACCTGGCTCCACAAGGGTCTATGATGTTACTCATTACGATAGGAATAAACCGCCACCAAGCGATTGTTCATCCTCTGCGAGCTATGACCTACAGCACGGCCAACAGGTTCATTTTTGGGGCGTGGCTGTACTCCTTGATTGTCGTGTCACCAAGTATATACCTCACTAAAGTGCAGCACCATATAAACCCTTCGACTAATATTACTGAACCTTACTGCGCCACTATCCCTGTCTCGACCAAGCCTGGCTTGATGTACGTGCTGGCATTAGCTGTTCTAGGCTACTTCATCCCTCTAACGACCCTCGTAGTGTTGTATACTAAGATATCGTACGCTGTATGGAGAAGAGACAACAAGAATAATACCCAAATGAGGACCTCGCGCCCCGCTAAAGCAATGATGAGAAGTCGAAAGAAGGTGATCAAAATGTTTTTGACGGTAATCGTGGTCTTTGTAATAACATGGCTGCCTTTGATTATCTATATCGGAGGGTTAGAGAATTATTTGTACAAAACATCCCCGCGGATCAGTCGAGTGAGGTTAATAGTTTACTCCATTGGACTCTCGAACTCAATCTACAATCCGTTTATATATTCTTTCTTTAATAAAAAATTCAGAGAAGGTTGTAAAGGAATATTTCGAAGCTCTTTTCTATTCATCAAAAATCCGATGATGAAACGCGAGGGAGCGAACGATTCACCCAAAACTGTAAGAGGTGGTGTTTCTCTGAGTGCTAATAATACACCAAGATTGGATCAGAAGTTTTCGAAAGACAAGGAATGGCAGATTAAATACAGCGTTGAAGCAGTTCGCGGTCACAACGAAGAAATTGTCATGATAGACAGTAAACATAACGTGAAGTTGATTGACCTCAAGTCTACTGGTGATCATACCAATATTGATCACAACGGAAGTGACTTTGATCAACAGAATTATGGAATGACTCATTCGCCGACTATTGCAGCGATTCACAATACTGATGAAAAACAAGTCGAAAACACGAATACAGATTCAAGGACTAGACCTATAACAACAGAAATACCACCAACACCTCAGCATACCCGTCCACAAGGACGGACAAGACGAACAAATAAAAAGAAACTTTTTAAGAACTTAAGTGAAAGAACTTTAGCAATTCGCAAGCCGAGTTCCCGCGAAGGAAAGCCGACTCAAAAACCTAAATTGCGTAAAGTAATGAGTGCTTTTCCTACGGGAACCAAAGGAAGTGAATTGGAAGATGATTTTGACAGCCTTTTTTAATTTAGAAGTCAATCCGCCCAAATGTGCTACCGCTTTATATAGAACATCCGTAAACAAAACCCTTATTACTGCAAACATTTATTTAAAAAAAAATCAATTTGCCCTGTATTTACTGATGATCAGAATGTCTATATCATTGAAAAGGACAATCATGATGGTTTAACCTGGTTTTAGTTCTCCCAAGGCTCTGTTCCTGCTACAAGAATATGTAAAAACCTTGTGCTGTTGCTAAGACCACTGACAACTCCCAACAAAGAATCCTTTTTAAACTGAGCTTGCCTATGTGCCTAGATAATAATGATAGTTTTTGTCATATACGACCAACATAAAACATGCGCTAGAGCCTACTTAGATTTCCATGACTGTAGCACGCGTCTTAGAACAAGGCAAACAAGTGTAACCGATTCTCGCCGTTTGCTGAGGACAACCCAGTACATTTGCTCAGGATTAGATGTGTGTTGATAATATTAACAAACTGGATCTAAGTCATATGCAAACAGTGGCTCATTTTGATTTTACAGTTAACACAATCTCCCATTCTAATAATTTATTTCTTATTATCGGACGCAACAACGGTTCAAAAATAATTAAGCATTAAAAATTAATTAAGCCCTTTCTGTTCAAGTGTTTTTTTCCCTTAATGATAACTGATTACCAAAGAATCAAGAATCAAGTTTAAAAATTGATTACAACACTGACGTTCTAAGATATTCGTTTAAATTGATTTATTTTCAATTAACTTGTAAATTTGCTTTGCCTTGCTGTAGTTAAGGCGATACGTACCTTATAAAATAGGAAAAAAACAGATAACGGCTGCTCAGCTCGATTAGCTTGCTATACTGAGCAGCTTTTACCTGAATCTTGGCTATAAACATTAATAGTGTTGTAAAGCATAATTTGATATACACCTATTTCGAAAATCGTTGTCGCACCAAGAGCCTCAAGTAACAAGCCAAGGCTCCAGAGAACGTCGGTACTTTTAATTATAATTGATTTATTCATGGTTTATGCAAGTGGCTATAGCTCTCCACTAATTATCATCTCAAGCAGCCTTGCTTGGAGCAATTTGTGAAGTCAATAAATGAAAATACACCATGAATAAACTAATTACAGCTAAAAGTACCGGCGTTCTCTGCGATCTTGGCTTGTTGCTCGAGGCTTTTGGTGCGACAACGATTTCTGAAATAGGTGTATATATACATATTCATGTTATTATTATTGGTAATAAAGATACTTGTTGTTGTTAAATATTAGGATTGTGATTACTACGAGAAAGCCATCTTGAGAGTGAAAGTATGAAGGCTTCAAATAACACAAAGGAGAACCCACCATTTTTTGAACATTAAAGTAAGAAGACTCGAAAATAATATAAAAACAACAAACAGCAAGAAGTAATCAATATAAGAATGATTTTCTAAATTTTAATAAATATATCTCTTTCATTTACACGTGAGAATTTGAATCATCAACAAAAATAATCAATCAATCAGCGTCATTGTAGATTAAAGGAAAAAATAATACGATTAACTAAAAAGTGAAAAAAAAAAAAATGGAAAAAAATGTTGATCTGTGGTAAATGAAAATTCAAGCACATTTTTCAAACATTAAGGAGTACCTCCGGGCACGTACAAACATAGTCATAATATTATTTCTAGAAGTAAGATATATGGCACTTTAAACGTAATTAAAGGGGTGGAAAGATCGAGAAACGGAAACTTACTAAAACTACTCAGTGCGAAAGATTTTCTATTTTTTCCCAAGATTTCTTGCCTTTCCTTACCGTGGCTCCAGATATTCTATTTCGCTTCCTGTGGTTGTAACGAGCGAGCGCAAGAATAAATAACCTCTGGAACCCAGGGTAGTCTTTTCTTTCTTTTCTTTCAAAATAATAGCATTTTTTAGATGCTCTATCTGAAATTATCTGGGTGATTCTGTTGTATTACTGGTTTTCACACGTACCCAAGAAAAGAAAATAACAAAAGACACGGCTGCCATGTCATTACGAAAAAAAAAGACTAATTACAAATATTTCGTTAAATTCAACCATTTACATCCCAATGGCCATTTCTGCACAATTTATAAATCATTTTGATCTAGGCTCGAGGTTATAATCATAATTTATTTCAAGAGATCTGTTTAATGTGCTGCCAACATTAATTTATGTTTAATCAGGTCTCCTTGCTTGGGTGAGGGTTGACACCTAAACCCTCAGTCTCAGTTAGTGCAATTCTAATCTGTTCCGTCCATGAAAATATCATACCACTCACAATTTGAGAGCATTTGGCAGCCAAAGTAAGAGCGATAAGTGTTTGAATAGTGGAGTAGTTTTCAAAACATCACTTACACAGGGTTCCAGAGTGATTCCGCGCTTCAGCATTGGAACCTTAGCAGTCCTTTGGCACCGAGTGAAAACCATTTCACTTCAGAACGTATTGAAAAGCTTCCCAAAATTATTTCAATTTGCATTGAGACTCTTGCTAGTTATTCTGAGAGAGTTGGAGAAGGAGACAACGAGGATGCCACATCCGGTACATGTGCAACTGCGAGAGGCAAAGATGCAGACGAACAAACCTATCAAATGACACATAAAAATGATTAAAGCCAACGTTGGAGGTTCACGTTAAGGTGCTGACACACGGTGCAACGTTGCACGCAACATTGCAAGCAACCAATTTGAATCGGGGTGACACACATTGCAACAAAACCACACAACATCGCTTGTGTCAGCCTGCTATATGTTAAGATATTTGGTCAGCAGTTATAAATTTGGTGCAGGCTGATTGGCTGGAAATTTCAAAATGTTGCAGGTAATTTTGCATCCATGTTCACATGATGAAAATTGTTGCGCGCAAGATTGCAATAGTAGGGCGCGATTCAACTTCAAATTTGTTGCATGCAACGTTGCGTGCAACAAGTTTGGGGTAGACACACGCTGCACCAGTCCTGTTTCGTGCAATGTTGAATGCAATGCTGCACCGTGTGTAAGCACCTTAATTAGAGGAACTATCATACGCTGTGCTGACAATAGTTTAGCAGAGAAGGTGAGGATAGATATGGAGTTTAGAAGAGGGTTCGAAAAAACTGTGTCCCCCGCCATACGGCTTCTCCTGCACCATTACGATATTGCCGCCATGTTGGTGGTAAAGACTTGCACACCACCACCAACGTGGCGCCATATCTTTAATGTTTTTTCCCTCCTAAATAGCTGCCAAAAATCGACACCTTAACATACTCCACACCACCGGTCCGTTCATACCCAGTCTCTTACCGGATTTCTCGTCGTTGGCCCGGGCATAGATTTATCGAAGCGTGATATGTCTGAAGATGACGTCGATTCTTCATCGTCTTGAAAGAGCACTTCTGATGCAACATCCGGGAGACCAAAGTCTCGCTGAGCCCGCGATCGGGAAAACAATCTTTCAGCTGTAAATAAATTAGAATTTTGTTCAGTCACCTTGATGTACTGAAGCAGGGTCCACAAATTTGAGTTTTTTTAATCATAAACAGGGTACCCCTTTCAGAGTCCCAGCGGAACACCCCTACCCA